GAAGGAAGGAAGGAAGGAAGGAAGGAAGGAAGGAAGGAAGGAAGGAAAAAGGAAGAAGAGATGGGAGAAGAAGGAAGGAAGGAGAAAGAAAGGATGGAGTGGGAGAGAGGGAAGGAAGGAAAAATGAAGGAAGGAGAAAGGAGGGAGGGAGGAAAGGAAGGAAAAAGAAGAGAAGGGAGAAGAAGGAAGGAAAAAGAAGAGAAGGGAGAAGAAGGAAGGAAGCAGGAGAGGGGGAGGGAGGAAGGAAAGGAAGGAAGGAAAAAGAGAAGGGATAGGAAGGAAGGAGAAAGAAGGGAGAGGGAGGGAAGGAAGGAAGGAAAGAAAAGAGAAGGGAGAAGAAGGAAGGAGAAAGGAGGGAGGGAAAACAGAGAAGGAGAAAGGAGGGAGGGAAAAGAGAGAAGGAGAAAGGAGGGAGGGAAAAGAGAAGGGAAAAGGAGGGTGAAAGGAGAAATAAGGCAGAGAGGGAGGGAGGGAAGAAAGGAAGGAAAAAGAAGAGAAGGAAGGAAGGAAGGAAGGAAGGAAGGAAGGAAGGAAGGAAGGAAGGAAGGAAAACCATCAATTTTGCACCCTCCTTGGCAGAACATTTCAAATGAAAACAGAAAAATGGACAGGAAACCTTCCCAGCTGCTAATGCTTCCTTGGTATAAGTCGGTGGGGAAACCCTTGACTAAATTGTGGCCCGACTCTCTATTTTCGCAGCACAAAAATTGCATCTCCTGGGGAAAAAAATAATAATTATCTCTGGGATGGCTAAGAAGGGGCTCCAACTTGTTGGTATCAAGCCAATTGATCAAGACGCTGGAATTCAGGAGCCAAACCTCCAGATCTCAGCAGGGAGACCCCAGTTCTATTTTCAAAGCAAATTAATTTTCAGAAAAGATTGAGGTCAACTTGGCTCCAACTAATGAGCCTGGCTGCCCATCTGGACATCTTCAAGTTATAGGTGATCCTTGACTTATGGCTGCAACTGAGCCAAGGTCGTAAGTTGTCACTACGTGAGCTGACTCCATTTTATGAGCATTGGGATGTTTGTTCGGTGAGTCTCCATGGGCGCTCAGCGGGTCACGTGGTCATTAAGTGAAGCATGTGGCTGCTAAGCAAATCCAGCGTATCCAGGGGGCATTTTTGTTGTTGTTGTTGCTGTTTTTTGCTAGAAAAGGGGCAAAAGACACAAATCATGACCATGGGATAAAATCGGTCATAAATGCGAGCCAGTTGCCAAGCACCAGAAATGTGATCGTGTGGAAAGTAGCCGTAACCTCGAGGACGGTTTATAAAGGCAGGTAGTCTTCGACTTACAACAGTTCGTTTAATGACCGTTCAAAGTTACAATGGCGCTGAAAAAAGTGACTTACGACCATTTTTGACACTTACGACCGTTGCAGCATCCTCAGGATCACGGGATCAAAATTCAGGCGCTTGGCACCTGACTCGTATTTATGACGGTCGCAGAGTCCCGAGGTCAGGCGATCCCCTTTTGCGACCTTCTGACCAGCAAAGTCAACAGGGAAAGCCAGATTCCCTTAACAACTGCATTACTAACTTAACTGTGGCAAGAAAGATCATAAACACAGGGCAAGATTCATTTAACAACTGTCTTGCTTAACAACAGAAATGTTGAGCGCCAATTGTGGTCGTAAGGCGAGCACTGCCTATACTCCAAAGTCAAGGGAGAAGCCAGGTTCACTTAAAACCCTGTCACTAACTTAACAACTGCAGTGATTCACTTAACAAGCGTGGCAAAGAAGGTCATAAAATGGAGCAAGACTCACTTAAGAACTGTTTCACTTAGCAACAGAAAATTGGGGCATAATTGTGGTCGTAAACTGAGGATTACCTGTAATTTTAATGTTCCTGTCATGATAAGTAATGGCTTCAATTTCTCGAAGAAAAGCGCTTTTACTCCATTTTTCGGTAATTTAGCCAAGTTTGGGGAGCACTGCTCTAACTGCTGCACCACACTACTTTTAGCTATTGGGGGCTGCTCGAGCCATACACCCACTTTCCGTCAGGACAAAATTCCTGCAAAATGAAAAAGAGACACTCACATAGCGCCCTACCTCCTCCTCCTTGTCCTGCAGCTTGGCCTTCACCCCGCTGTCTTCGCTCCGTTCTTCATCTTGGATGCTCTCCGGAGGAGACACAGAATTGCTCTGCAGGTTGCGGAGAAGAGATGGAGGCAAAGGAACGAACGGAAAGAATCAGTGGGAAAACCGAAGTCCATTTCTGGTGTTTCCAATCAGGGGTCTCCAACCGTGGCAACTTTAAGGCTTGTGGACTTCAACTCCCAGAATTCTCCTCGGTGTGGCGGGCTGAGGAATTCTGGGAGTTGAAGCCCACGAGTCGTAAAGCTCACAAGGTTGGAGATCTCCTGCTCCAAACTGTAAGACGGTGGCTGTTATTTAATTACAAGTAGGATTACTTCTTCCCTAGGCCAGTGTGCTGGCTGGGGAATTCAGGGAATGGCTTCCGTAAAAATACAAAATAGGGTTTTTTCAAGCTTGGCCACTTTAAGATGGATGGACTTCAACTCCCTATGTTGGTTGGGGAATTCTGGGAGTTGAAGTCCACCCGTCTTAAAGTGGCCAAGGTTGAGAAACACTGTTCTGGGTTCTTCAATCCACAGCCTTCTCCAGCTGGTTGAATTACAACCAAAGGAACTTCAAGCAGCTCAGCCATCGTTGGCATGGGCTGGGAATCCTGGGATCTGTAGTCTATCTTCACCAGCCTACAGACTGTGATCACACTCCCTTCCCTCAGGCAGACCATCTGCATCTCCTACTGGTATTATAAAAGGGATTTATTTATTTTTTGTACTTTTCTGACTTAAGGTGTAAGCCATTCAGAATCATTCAGGGGACAGTCAGTAGCTCTGAAAACCAATACTGACCAGTGAGAATATAAAGTTAAAGCAGAATGATACAAAACATCATTGTAAACCAATGTTTTAGGCCGTCCAGAGTTGTCCTCTGATAAGACGGACGGCCAATAAACGTCATAAATAATAATAAATAAAACCTGGTCAGGTTTTCCCTCCCTCCCAGATTGTGGGGTTTGCAGTGTGTGTGTGTTTGGGTGTGTGTGTATGTTTTGCAGAACCAGACACTCAAAATTTGGTTCCTTTTTCCAAGCAGATGAGAGTTGGAAAAAAAAACCAGGACAGATTGTCTGAGGTTCCTCTATATTGTTATTTATTAAAATTTATTATTCATCCCCCATTTATTATCTCCCCATTATGACTTTATAAGTAACACAAGGAAACATATATAACTCAAGGCAACATACATACCTAATATTCCTTCCTCCCCTCATTTTCCCACAACAACAATCCTGTGAGGGGGGTTTGACTGAGAGAACGTGAGTCACCCAGTCACCCAGCTGAGCTTTTTGTCCAAAACAGGACTAGAACTCACTGTCTCCTGGTGAATTGGCCCAAAGTCACCCAGCCAGCTTTCATCCCTAAGACAGGACTAGAACTCACTGTCTTCTGGTGATTGGCCCACCCAGCTGGCTTTCATGCCTAAGGTGGAACTAGAACTCACTATCT